AAAAAAAAAAAAAAAAAGGGAAAAGGAAGAAGAAAGAAACAAGAAAACTGCAATATCTGGGGATAGGGCAATAAGAGGAAAAAGTAGAAAAGGAGAATAATGAAGGAAAAAAATTGGGAAAAATGCAAAGGAAAGACAAGGAATGGGGTTATCCACAAGAAAAAGGAAAAAAAACAAAAACAAAAAAAAGTGACCAGGTACAGGGAAAAGAAAAAAGGCTAAAAACTAGGTCCTGGGAGGGGAAGAACAAAGAATAATAGTAAAAAAGAAAAAAGTAGAAATAATAATAGTAGTTTTTAAACAGACGAAAACAAGCAAACTAAAAAACAGAAAAAAGGAAAGAGAAAAAAAAATCAGGGGAGAGCAGGGCAGGGCACCCAGGCTCTGACTGAGCACACAGACTGGGATGGTTTCCTATGGGCCCAGAAGGTGGGTGGGAGTGGGGGATGGCTGCACCTCTGTTCACCAAGTGGGTGTGGGGTACAAGAGTAACATGGGGAATGTTGCACCTTTCCAGCCGTCCAGGTCCAGAATGTCCTTGGATTTACTGGCAAGTGGAATCCATTCTTAAATTCCTGGAATCTGGGAGAATGCTTTTGCTTTAAATATCCAAAATGGTCAAGCTGCTTTCAAACATTCAAAATGGCTGTGCCCTCCAGACAAGCAAAAGTCCACAGCTCAGCCCGCCTTCCTCTTTGCTGCTGCTTCACCTTTTATTTGCTAGCCACCACAGCAGTCCTCTGTAGAGTCCCTGGCCAGCAGGCCTGATTTTTAGGTTAATTCTCAGGTCCTACCACCACTTGGCAATCTCCAAGCTGTCTGTGCCATCAGGATTGCTGCCAGACCACAGCTCCGTTAGGTCTCCTTTTTTGGTATTTTCATGCAAATTCTTCTGTTAATTGGAGTTTGTTGTTGTTGTTGTTATGTGCTGTCAAGTCGGACCTGACTCATAGCAACTCCTCCTTGGGTTTCCAAGGCAGTATCACTATGGAAGTAGTTTGCCCCATCTTCCTTCCAAGGAGTGGCTGGTGGGTTTGAACCACTAGCCTTCTGGTTAGCAATCAAGTGCCTTAGCCACTATGCTACCAGAGCTCCCAGTTGGAGTTTAGTCCACTTCTATATCCTTCCTTTCAAGGCTCAGGGGTCCAGGATTATCTTCTGTGTCTTTGTTAATTGGTTCCCCTTTGTTGAAGAAGGTCTGTGCAGTCTTTATGCCTATTCCACCATCTTACTGGAACTCTCAGCATGCAGATTGAATAAGTATGGTGAAAGGATGCAACCCTGGCATACACCTTGCCTGATTTTAAACCATAAATTATCCCCCTGTTCAGTTCTAATGACAGCCTCTTGGTCTATATTCAGGTTCCTTATGAGTATAATTAAGTATTCTGGCATTCCCATGAAGTGCTTATAGACAGGAAGACTTAACATTGTGAAAATGTCAGTACTACCCAAAACAAACTACAGATATAATGCAATCCTGATCCAGATTCCATCATTTTTCCTTAAAGAGATGGAAAAACTAATTACCAACTTTGTATGGAAAGAGACCTTGGATAAGTAAAAAGAACAAAACAAAAAAACCAAACTCACTACTGTCAAGTCGAATCTGACTCATAGTGACCCCTCCTTGGGTTTCCGAGGTGGTATCTCTACAGAAGTAGACTTCCCAACCTTCCTTCCAAGGAATGGCTAGTGGGTTTGAACCGCCAGCCTTCTGGTTAGTAGTCAGATGCCTTAGGGACTATGCCACCAAAGCTCCGTATATATATACATACATACATATATACACACACACACATAATATATATGTATATATATATTCCAAACATTTGCCATTTGAACTTTGTTTACATGGACAATTCAGTGACATTATTTTCATCTAGTTGTATAACCATCACCTATCTGTTTACAAAATTCGTGAAATGAATTGGGAATAATAGCTATGAGTCAGAGCCAACCTGATAGCACCTAACAGCAACAATTTTCTGGAAGAGACTTTATAATGATAGTGTTATTTCTTCTGCTAATGTTTGATAGAATTTTCCAGTGAAACCATCAGGGCCTGGAGATTTATTTTCCTTCAGGCATTCTCCTGCCAATAACTTACAGGAAAATAAGTATTTGTAAATAAGAGAAACCATTCAATAGTCAAATCTTCAAATCAGGATTTTAATATTTCATCAATGTTACAGAATTTCCTTTCTTCTTACTAATAGTACCTTCTAAAATAAATGTAATGCAATAATCAACCTAAATGTAGATAGTATTTGAATCATAATGCTTCACAATGGGCTAATTACCACATTTCAGTCCTTATGTAATTATCTCAGTAATGCTAAGTTCATAGCTACAAAGCCAGCCAACATGAGTACTTACATATTCCAGAGTCCAAGCTTCCTGGGGAGTTTGGTACTTTCCATATGACATTTCAGCTTTTATATTTATCATTTCTGGTGATTCTATTCTTGAGGTTTTATAGTGATGTAAATATTAACCCACTGCCATCGAGTCGATTGTGACTCATAGCAACACCCATAGGGTTTCCAAGGCTATAAATCTTTACAGAAGCAGACTGCCTCGTCTTTCTCCCATGGAGTGGCTGGTGAGTTCAAACTGCCAACCTTCTGGTTTGCAGCCCAATGCCTTAACCACAGCACCACCAGAGATCCTTGAAGTAAAAATTTGGAGTCAATATCCTTGATTGTTATTTAAAAAATAATTCATCTTTATTTTAGGAACCACTTCAAGTGTGTGTGTGTGTGTTTTTTAACTATGTCATTTTTGTTTTCACATCTAATTATTCCTTTCTTTTACTCCTTTTTCCTTTCTTTTTTCATTCCATTCCTTTCTTTTAGATACCATTTTATCTATTTATTAGCCAACTGGTTTATAAATATGTGCCAAATCACATTGTTTATGGGCCTGGTGTCTGTACACTGGTTTTCCATTTTCTTCAAGTAAAACTATTCTTTCCAGGATTCCTCTTTTCTCTAAGAATCCATAGGAAATACCAAGCTTCTCTCAAACCTTGATTCCTTAAAAGATTTAAAGCACAGCTGTAGGCTATTGTAATGAGAGGGGCTGAGATGACCAGGCAGGTGAAAAATACTAACCAGGAGGTAGAAGTCTATTTGTGAACTTTGATACATCTTTGATTCCACTGAGCACCAGGCAGATGGGTATCCAAATATTTCTTCAAACGGCTATAATCTTAGCTCCTTGTGTTCCATTTCCTGTTATCTGAATTTTGCTACTCTTTAGGCACCTTACCACAGCCTTGAAACTCTACGGAGCAGTTCTAATCTGCACACACAGGGTTGTCATGAGTTGTAATTAATGGCAATAGTGGCTAAGACACTTGCCTGCTAACCAGACGGCTGGCGGTTCAAACCCACCAGCCACTCCTCGGAAGGAAGGTTGGGCAATCCTACTTCCGTAGTGATACTGCCTCGGAAACCCAAGGAGGGGTCGCTATGAGTCGGGGCCGACTCGACGGCACATAACAACAACAACAACAACAAGGCGCCCTTTAGCTTTGTCCTGGGTACAGTACAGTGTGGACATCTCAGATATGGTCTTGCCTGATACATTAATTTTCTTAGGCTTCTCACAGCTCTTTCCAAGGCTTAATTGGCTCATGTTTTAACTGATATGGTTTGTGTTCTTTTCCAACTCTGAATCCGCAAATGCTCAAAATCTAAGATATTTGTGTTCTGTTACTACATTTTGCTAAAAGAAAAAAAAGAAAATGTTTTATCTAATTTGATGTTTAATGTGATTAATAGTGATTTAATTTTCAAAAAAACCCAAATAATTACAGAACAATAGAAAATATCGCTGAGATGATGCCCAATCTTTTACTTCTATCCAGGCTTTTGCTAGACTACGTAGGAAAGAAATGAATATTCTTCATGTTCTCATAAAATTCAGAGTAAAATGATTAAGCAGGAAATAGCAAAAATTTTATGACAGAAGCAATTAACTTTAGCATGAATATGTCAGTATTTGAATCACTTTTGTGGGAAAAATAGAATGAAAATCATGTCCTTTGGAAAAATATAACAAGGAATACCCACAGATGCAACCTGCTGTTAGGAATGCCTTTCTTCAAAAATCAAGGTTCAAAGATTGTCACATTTCACCTTTCTTCTTGCTTTCACAAAATTAGATAGATTTCTACATTGTTCAGGAATTATTGGAAATGTCATTCAAAAATTATCTTTTTCAACTAAGTTATAAGATATAATTGTCCATAAAGTGCAATTCAAATAAAAGTGCTCATTAGGAGAGTAATTTAAAGTGCAATATATAAGATACTCTAAATAGTGCAAACTTGTTATGTAATACATTATATTTGTTATATATTATATCTGTGCCGAGTTCAAACGAAGCAGGACCTTATCTATCCCTAAGCTAGATAGAACAATGGAGACATACTTTCACATCTTTAATTCTTTGCAAGCATTTGTATTTTGGTCCATGTTTGTATGTATGAATGACAGAAAAATAGAAAGATACTGTGTCTGTGTATGTATATAACTGCTTGATGGTTTGTGCAAATGTCTATAAGAGGTTTTCCAGAATTTGAAACCTTAAAACAGACATAATTATGAACTCTCCATTTCAAAGTAGCATTAGGCATGTAGTAATGGTTGAGCTATTTCAGCCTGCATATCTTGTAAGTCAGGTGTTTGGCTGTGAATTAAATGTTTAATGAAAATCACTAAAAAGACGATAACTATAATGCTACCAAGAGAGACCCCTATGAAATAAGCATATGACTCTTGTTCATATCCTCTTGGTTTGATACTACCATGGAAAATTGCAGTACTCTTCACATGAGGAGTTGTTCTTGGAGATGCTGAATTGAGCAGTTCCTGAACATTCTGGAATGATCCATTGTGTGGCATGGTGGTAATATTGAGGAGGTGGCATAACAGTGGGTACAGATCTGTGGAATTCATGGATTCTTTCTTGAAATTCCTTCTGAAGGCAGGACCGTGAGCTAAAAATATTGGATGCATTTCTGATAATGCATTATCATAACCATGGTTACCTACTGTAAAGAGAAAATGCATGAGTAAGTTAGCCAGCCAGATGGCATTAAAATGGAAATAATTATTGTATGGTCAAGTTCTGAATCTAAATGCAAATTTTATTTAATTTGGCTTTAAAAATAAAATAATCTTGTAATTTCTGATGTTGTCAACATCACAGTTCTCTTCAGGAAAGTGAAAGTCAAAAGATCACAAATCTTTCTTTGATGCTAACACTACCTTAAGCATCAGATCAGAGCAAGAAAGGTAAAAAAGTTAAGCTGAACCAAATTAGGGGAAAATAAAAGTAATCTCTCTTTTTTTTTTTTTTTTGCAGGGAGGGGCAGGGAAGTAGCTGGCAAACTAATAATATTCAGCAAATACTTACTGGGTAACTCCCATGTTCCAATTATTGTTTTAAAGATAATGGTGCTCTTAGCTGACAAGGGACAAGGTTGTAGTCACTTTTTGGCCACAGCCAGCTACCCACAGGGAGTGAGTAGTTGGACCTGTGGGCTTGGGACCATAGTCGCAGGGGATATCAACCTCAATTGGCATAACACATTACATAAAAACATTGTTCCACATCCTACTTTGGTGAGTAACAACAGGGATCTTAAAAAATTGCAAGCAGCCATCTAGATGCAACAATGGATCTCTCCTCATCCAGAATAAAGAAGAATGAAGAAAACCAAAGATGCATGGAAACAAGCCAAGCGACTGGTCAACCATGTGATCCTCAGCCTATATGACTATGAGACCAGAAGAACTAGATGGTGCCTGGCTACAACAGTCAACCACTCAGAGGGGGATCTATGTAGAAGATACTGGATAGAGTGGAAGAACAATGTGGAACAAAACTCAAAATCATTTTAAAAAAATAGAAAGGACCAGGTTTGCTGGTCTGATAGAGCCTGGTGGAACCACTATGGCACTTAGTTGCCCTTCAGGTCTGGAACTGAACCCACTCCTGTGGCTTCCAGCCAAACAAAAGACAGGCATATGAGCTGAACATTTACATTAGGTAGATACACTCCCTGAAGAGAACAATCATGGGAGACTAGAAGGACTATATTTGCACAGGGAGATAGCTCAGGGGGGCAGGAGTGCATGGGAGGGAAGGACACAGGGAAGAGGTGATTATGGGGAGGAAATAGGAGGGAAGCTGTTGCATTGTGGGAAATTGCAATCAATGTCATGAGACAAAGTGTATGTGAGCTGCTCTATGAAAAGTGAATTTGGTCTGTAAACTTTCACCCAAATTACAATTTAAAAAAAAAAAAAAAAAAGATAAAGGTGCTCTTAGTCTCAGGAAGGCATTAAAGGCCAAAACTTATAATTACCAGTAGAGGGGGAAAAAAAAAAAGGAACACAGCAGAAACCACAAAAATCAGACTTCTAGTTACAATTACGATCTACTACTAAAAGGCAAAGATTGGGACTTGTGCGTAGAATGGGAAAATACTGACTTTGGAGGTTCAGATCAGAATCCAGTCTACCTGTGCTGTAGTGTGGCGAAAGTCAAAACTTTACGGGTCTTCTAATGCAGCATGATACAAAATTGAAGGAAGAAATATTCTGCATTTTAAAGACATGTATCCAGTGTCATATCAGGGTGCAAGGCAAAGGAATTACTGCTGATAAGATGGTAACCTAAGTAATTTAAGGTCTTTATTTTGCATGTTGGAATTTTAAATGGGATTTCTATTATATTCATTTGATTCTAAATTTATTCTGTGGAAACAATTCCAAAATTATTTCATAAGGTATTAGGAAAATATGTCTTGACATATTATTATCCATGCCAAATGTACTTCTTTTTAGGAATGCCTCCAATGTGTAAAGCAAAGCTGGCCTGTATTTGGAAAATCCAAAAGGGCAAAGAAACTAAAAAGCTATCTATTGCAAGTAAAAATAAGGATTGAATTCTTATTAAATTAGAATATAAAATAGATGCAGAATATAATTCAGTTTACAAATTTCAGTTATGTTTTTCTCAGGAACAGAGCAGATAAAATTATCAGTGTATGTCATTGTACGTATCTTTAGCCTGGTTATTTCAAGAGAACTACATGTTTCACTTGTAAGAGGTTACCCTCTTTTAAAGCCCCATGGATTCTTATTTTGCTATTAATGTGTAACACTAGTTATTTGTCAGTAAATAAATTGTTATATTACCCATAATACCCACTTTACCAAAAACCAATGCTGAATGGAAAGAACCCTTTTATATACTCACACGGAAAGTCATCTGATTTATTCTGTAAAATATTCCACCCTTCGTCAGCCACTGCTATGATTGGTTGAATTCGACTATTGTATCTGTAATGCCATCTTTCTGGAATCTCTTCTTTTTTGTAAACAGTAAGATTAGGGTGAGCGTGAGCTAGAGCTTCATAAATTTCATCAAATTTACCTAAAGAGACAGGAAGAAAGGCACTCAGAACAAGATTCTCATTGGTGCAAAGAAACAATAATGGGCAATAGGAGTCAATCAGTATTTCTTAAATGTGAACTCCCTGCATTTGAGGTAAAAAGCCAGCAAAGCTGAGCATAATGAAAGATAGCCAGGCACTTTATGTGGAAAACTCTCATGCCTGGACCATGTTTGCAGGGGGCATCAAGCTCAACTGGCATAAATACTACACAAAAACACTGTTCCACATCCTACTTTGGCGAGTAGCAACTGGGATCTTAAAAGCTTGCAAGCGGCCATCTTGATGCAACAATGGGTCTCTCCTCATCCAGAGCAAGGAAGAATGAAGAAAACCAAAGCACATGGAAACAATTAGTCCAAGGAACTGGTACACCATGCAATCCTCAGCCTATATGGATCCTCAGCCTATATGGCTGTGAGACCAGAAGAGCTAGATGGTACCCAGCTACCACTATCAACCACTTGGAGGGGAATCTATGTAGGAGATCCTGGATAGAGTGGGAGAACAATGTGCAACAAAACTCAAAATCGTTATTAAAAAAAAAAAAGGTGTGTGTGTGGGACCAGGTTTGCTGGTCTGATAGAGCCTGGTGGAATCCTGTGGCCCCTAGCTGCTTTTTAGGTCTGGAATAGAACCCACTCCTATGGCTTCCAGCCAAATAAAAGGCATATGAGCTGAATATACACTCCTTGGAGAGATGAACCATGGGAGAATAGAAGGCCCATGCACGCACAGGGAGACGGCTCAAGGGAAAGGAGTGCATGGGAGGGAAGGACAGAGGGAAGTGGTGGCTATGGGGAGGAAGTGGGAGGAGAGCTGTTGCATTGTGGGAGACTGAAGTCATTGTGGGAGACTGAAGTCAATGAGATAAAGTGTATGTGAACTGCTGTATGGCAGATGAATTTGCTCTGTAAACTTTCATCCAGATCACAATAAAATTAAAAATAAATAAAAGCAATTGCTTTACAAAGCATGTATATATTTAAAAACAAACAAACAAACAAACAAAAAACTCCCATGCCTGCTGAGGAAAGAATCTTGAGGGGATAAAAGAGAAAAAAATTAATTTTCTAATGTACATAAATTCAATTCATAGAATTAAGATGATATTTTACAGAACCAGAAATCCATTATCTTTAATTTAAAGGCTTAAATACATGCAAAATTAGAAACACACATATATGTATTAATCCGTGGAGGGTCGACGAAAGAGGGGGAGGCCTTCAGCGAGATGGATTGACACGGTGGCTGCGATGATGGGCTCAAGTATAGCAGGGATTGTGGGGCTGGTGCGGGATCGGGCAGTGTTTCGTTCTGCTGTGCATGGGGTCGCTATGAGTCAGAAATGACTCGACGGCACTTAACGACAACAACAAAGTAAAAGCCAAGCTTTGGTGGTGCAGTGGTTAAGGCATTTGGCTGCTAACCAAAACGTTGGCAGTTTGAACCCACCAGCTGCTCCACAGAAGAAAGATGAGGCTATCTGCTTTCATAAAGATTTACAGCCTTGGAAATGGAGGTCAGTATGAGTTGGAATTGACTCTATGGCAGGGAGTTTGGTTTGAAGTAAAAGCCTAAGGTACTGCAATACACAATAAATTAAAGAGCTAATGTCTGGTAGTTCAGAATGCAGACACACAGAATTTCTAGACATTAAGCTGTTTCAAGTGGAGGCTGGGCATGAGGAAGGGACAGACTGGGTGGAAAGCAGCTTGTAAAATGGAAGGGTCCTCAAAATACCAGAGGTGTTCCAAACATACACCAGCTTCAAATACAACAAAACCTGGACACTATCATTAATCCCTTCCTTGTTTTTAAAATCCATCTTTTGGGGTTTCCTTCCTGCCTCCCATACCCCAATAATGAAACACCAAATGAATTTATGATGGAAATGGAAGGGTTAATGTAATCTTCTTAAACAACAAGAAAAAAACTTGCTATTTTATATAGAAATTCTTGAAAACTTTGTAGGTGTATGTGCATATTTTAACATTCATTATTTCATATGGTACCTGTAATTTTCCTGTGAGGGATATAAGTCTCATTTGTGAGGTAGTCTGGCTTTTCAAAATCAGTTCTTTCATTTGAGACCTAAGAGACAAAAACCAAACTCACTGCTGTTGAGTCAGATCCAACTCATAGTGACCCCTCCTTGGGTTTCTGAGGCTGTATCACCACAGAAGTAGATTGCCCAATCTTCCTTCCAAGGAGTGGCTGGTGGGTTTGAACCGCCAGCCTTCTGGTTAGTAGTCAAGTGCCTTAGGCACTACACTACCAGAGCTCCCATTTGAGATCTAGACCAACCTAAAACCAAAAAACCAAACCCATTGCTGTTGAGTTGATTCAGAGTCACATTGACCCCATGTGTTACACAGTAGAACTGCCCACAGGGTTTTCTTGGCTGTAATCTTTAAGGAAGCAGATTGCCTGTTCTCTCCTGTGGTGCCCATGGGTGGTTTGAATTGCCAGCTTTTAGGTTAGCAGCTGATTGCACACTGCTTGCTGCACTCAGGGACCACCTCAACAAGGTTATGAAGGAGGACAGAAGAGCAGATTTGAGTCAAGCTCTACCACTTACTTTGTGAACTTGGGGATGTTAAAAATCTTTTTAGTTGGTTTACCTATCTTTAAAAGGAGCTCTGGTGGCACAGTGCCTGAGGGATTTGACTGCTAACCAGAAGGTTGGCGGTTCAAACCCGCCAGCCACTCCACAAAAAGAAGACTGGGCAATCTACTTCTGTTAAGATTTACCACCTCGGAAACCCAATAATGGTCGCTTTGATTTGGCATCAACTCGATGGCGGTGAGTTTTTTTTTTTTTTTTGGTTTACCTATCTTTGAAAGAGTCTTGGTGACACAATAGTTAAATACTCAGCTGCTAACCAAGAGGTCAGCGGTTTGAAGTCACACATGCTCTGAGGGAGAAAAGACCTAACAATGTGCTCCCATAAAGATTGCAGCCTAGGAAACCCTATGGGGCAGTTCTGCTCTGTCATATAGGCTCACTGTGTGTCAGAATCGACTTGACAGCACACAATAACTTATCTTTAAAATTAAGATAATGCCTCAGTGACAGGGCTGAGATGAAGATTTGAGGAGAGGTTTATAAAAAGTTCAAGGTATTTTCATTGCTCTCCATATATAGATAAAAATATAAACAGCTGCCATTGAGTTGATTCAACTCCTAGTGACCCCCTGTGTGTATGAGTAGCACTGTGCTCCATGGGGTTTTCGATAGCTGGGATCTCTCAGAAGTAGATTGCCAGCCTTTCTTCTGAGGTGCTTTTGGTTAGATTTGGAACTATCAACCTTTCGTTTATAGCTTAACCATTTGTGACACCAGGGACTCCGCTTATTTATAGATAAGGAAAATAAATATTGAACAGAAGTCTTATGATATCTGGTCCACAGCTCTTTCTGCTTCCTGTATTCTGCTGTGATAGGAGAATATACTTCCTACACTCTCCTTCCTATACACTGCTTCCCTATTAAGATTCCAAGTAGGCAATAGAAGCCTTTAGGGATTCCATGAAATCACTTCAATTGTATGCAACTTTTGTATCTTCCCATCTCAGTTTTTCTGAGGGGGGGGCTATAGCTTTCACCATTATTACGATTCCAAAATGGTTACAACCTACTGTTATAAATACGCTGTTGTCATTGAGTTGATTCTGACCCATGGTGACCCCATCTGTGCAAAGTAGTAGTACTCCACCGTTTTCAAGGCTGTGACTTTTTTGAAGCAGACAGGCAGGTCTGTCTTCTGAGGTACCTCTAGGTGGGTTTGAACCACCATTTTTTTTGCTAGTAGTTGAGCACTTAACAATTTGCACCACCCGGATAGCATCAGTTCCAATATTTTAAGAAAAAGTAAAAAATTAGACTCTGGGAAAAACAGTCTATTTTCAGAGCCTAAGGATTAAATCTTAGTATATTCTCATGACACAGGCATATATACTTTAAAGGTACGGAGAGAAAAATCCCCCATTCACTTAATCACACTGTACAATCTATGCAAGAAAAAGGAAAATGCACATCTAGCTTCAGATCACCATTCAGGTCAGATTTACCTTCTTTTGGCAAGATGGCTGCTACCGGAGATTGGTCAATCAGGATATAGTGGTCTTTATCCAGATACTGGTCAAGTTCTATTATTCTTTCCTCAGAACACTGTGTCATTCCGTGGTCACTTGTGATGATTAGGTTCAGGGTGTTCCACAACTTTGCCTTTTTTAACATTTTAATGAGATATCCTAGCTTGTTGTCAATATCTGAAATGACAGGTCCCATGAGTGGGCTGTCAGGTCCCAAGTGGTGGCCCATGTCATCTGGTTCCTCCCAATAGAGAAGACCAAGATTAATAGGCTCTTTTGATGTAAACCATTCAATAATTTTGGCAACTCTATCTTCAAACGAAACAGATTCATTGTAAGGCATGTAGTATGTAGGAAAGCTGTTGTGTATTTTCACATCTGTTCCAGGCCACATTGCTGCACCGCTAGTATGTCCTGACCTTTGATTTGTGATCCATATTGGCGTTGCTTCTTCCCAAAACTCAGAATCATAAATATTCATGTGATCCAGGGAGAAAGACTTGTTCAGAATAGGATCAAACATGTCATTTGAAACAATCCCATGACTCTCTGCAAAGAGGCCAGTTACCATAGTATAAAAGTTAGGGTATGTCTTTGTAATAAAAATATTAGTGACCTGCTTCACATGAACACCATGTTTCATAACATAGTGAAAATGGGGTGTTGGAACTTTATTTAAGTAATCCCAGCGGAATCCATCAAATGAAACTAGCAGAACCTTTTGCTGGTCTGGGTGCAGAGAAAATGTAGCTGAAAGTGTTAATGTAGCAAGTACGAAGAACACCCAAAGAAGTTTTGAAGTCATTTTTAAAGTGCTTGATCAGTTCAGCATAAAACAATCTGTAGAATAAACATATGGAAGTTAATGGCAACAATTTTGCTGCATATACTTTACCCCAAACTGAGAGTGCAGGCATTTAGTAATCCCAGTAATATCATAAATCACAGCCTGGAAGAATTATGTTGCAGAGCTCCATCTAGAGAGAGACCTGGGGCTATCTGAATAATAAGGCTAAGAAGTTCAGTTGCATTATAAATCCTTTTTTGTACCTTCAAAGAAGGTACAAAAAATGTTTTGATAAACATTCCTCAAAGGAATTATGTAAATAACTTCCCCAATCTCAAAACTTAACTCACTGCTGTCAAGTTGGTTCTGATTCATAGAGACCCCTCCGGGCAGTATCTCTATGGAAGTAGATTGCCCAATCTTCCTTCCGAGGAGTGGCTGGTGGGTGTAAACAGCCAGCCTTCTGGTTAGCAGTCACATACCTCAGGCACTACACCACCAGAGCTCCAATAGCATTTTAAAATAATTTACATCTAACTTTTCAGAAACATATTCAAGTTGACTCAGACTTCTGACTTCTGTTCACTTACATGGTCAAAGCTGTGAACATATTTATCATTACAGCTAAACCAATTATAGAAACTAGCAACAAGAGAGTACTGTTAGCAAATTCAATAATGGGTTTTTCTTTTTTAATGCACTTCTATTTTCAAAGCCAAGCCTTTATGTTAGGTTCATCGTAGTAGAGATGTTACCAGTGACAGGAGAAAATAGATGAATTTTAATTTCTTGAAGTGAAACAAAATTTGTGACAAGTATATTTGTGAAATATAATGTATATTCATTTATTATTCCTTACACAATTAGGTTCTGAACTAAGTTTAAAAAGAAATATAATTCTGAAATTTGATGTTGACCTTCTTAAAGGGAAAATCTGTTAATATTTAGTGTTATCAGTGATAAGCCCAGAAAAAGCACTTCCCAGAATTAAATCTCTTTGGAGAAAACAAAAATTAATTTGCATACATTCCAAAAGCTTCTATTTTACTTATGAAAGCTAATAACCAGTGTGGATAAAGGATGGATATATACAATTTGTCAATAATCATTGGGCTTGAACTTCAAGCAAGGATCTTTTGTTCTTTGTTTTTTTCCTTTCCATTATTATATGCCACCAGAGTTCCCATTTTTACATGAAGGTATTTAGAAGTCCACCAAAACTTGGATCTAACGAAGCTTTGTGTTAAGAAATATGTGAATTTGGCTTTTGAAATCTCCTAATGTGAACATACTAAAGATATTTTTGAATGTTAAAAATAGATTATGTCTTGCCTTCGTATATTACAGGTGTCTTGCCTTCATATATTACAGGTGTATCAAACCAAAAAACTGAACTCAGTGACCATCAGGTGGTTTCCCACTCATAATGATGACCCTCATTGGGTTTCTGAGGCTGTAAATCTTTAGGGAACTAGATCACTCATCACCCAATCTTCCTTCTGCAGAGTGGCTGGTGGGTTTGAACTGCTGATTTTCTGGTCAGCAGTCAAGTGCCTTATCCACTACACCACCAGAGCTTCTTATTACATGTATGTTGTTGTTGTTGTTACGTGCTGTCGAGTCGGACCCGACTCAAAGCGACCTCTCCTTGGGTTTCTGAGGTAGTATCACTACGGAAGTAGATTGCCCCATCTTCCTTCCGAGGAGTGGCTGGTGGGTTTGAACCAGCAGCCTTCTGATTAGGAGTCAAGTGCCTTAGCCACTATGCTACCATTACATGTATAAGTAAATAAAAATTGTTTGGCAGGTTTGCTTTGCTTTCAGAAGCACAAACTATGTATTAATCTGTGTATTACCTTGAGAGCAGTAATTCTGTTGTTTAACTGTGGACTCATTATGCCTAGAATATTTCTGAAATTGTTTTCAGTGTTAATCTCCAGAAAAATGTTCAAAAATTAAATTTAAAACTATTTCTTAAATGGCAATAATTTTTCCAATTCTGGAAGAAACGTTAAAAAATCAGTTCCAATAGAGAACTGCAAATATATATGTGGCTGAAGATGGTGGCTCCTCTCTCTTTCTTTTTTTTCCTCACAGTTTTTTCTCCATCCTTCTCAACACAATAAAGGTTATATTTATAACCCAAATATAAGTTAAAGTTGGGGAAGAGAGGGGAGGAAAGGGGAGAGAGAGAATGAGAGAGAATCAATACATGGAACACGTGCTTTTCTTCTGAGTAAATTAGTTCAGACATTTGGGGTAAGCAGGAGAAAATGGCATCTGGGACAAATGTAAGTAAACGGAGGTTAAGTGTTTCAGGCTTAGGAATACTTGGTAAGAAGCACCAACATTCCCATATCGATGACAGAAAGCAGTAAACAGGGAGATGGGGGTGCAACTTTCCGCGCACAAAATGCTGCAGAATGCGGTGGAGTCCCTAGATCTGGGTCCAGCTTTCACTGGACTACTTTCCAACTTCTCCTCCCCTCCAAACCTTTCCCAACAAACAGCCTTGGAAATCTGGAGGGAAGGGGCAGCGAGAAAAAGGAAGAAGAGGAAAAGGAAAGGAGTAGGTCTTTGTGAGTGAGTACACGTCACCGGGGGGGGGGGCATCGTCCATCTTTCCCATTGGGATTCTATTCTAGCCACCGGGGAGGGTCGAGGCGCTGGGTACGTTTTCAATTCCCCAAAATCTCTACCACTGGGGCCAGCAGATGTCTCAAACTGGGCTCTGTGTATGTGTGAAGTGAAAAAAGGGGTGACAGCTTTGGGGTCCCATAGTAACCATGGGGGTCCTCAAAAAGCAAGCCGCCCACCCCTCTGGACTCTTACCCTGGCAGCTATCCGGTTTATCTGCATCTGCTTGGGGCAATGGGAGGGAAGGTAGCTGGAGCGAGGGACGCCTCCGAACCTGTAACCACTCACCTGCACGCAACCTCAACGCAGAGCACCTGACCAGCGCAGTCTCAAAGCCTCCGGCCCCGCCCCTTAACTCTCATTGGTTATTGCAGGATTGTTGCCATTGCCAGGGTTGCTAAACGAAAGCCTGGTTACAGGGAGTAGCAGAATCGCCTGTCAATCAGAGGGAGCTGGTGCTGGTGCTGCCAAGACTTCGGGGGTTGAGGGGCGGGACGCAGCGGGAGCAAAGGGCAGGAGAGGTAGGAGAGTGGGGAGGCCCAAACGGCTGTCATTTGCTCTTTGCAGAGGACCTTTCTCTGCCCACGAAAATTCTCTGCAGTGCTACCTTTTCTAGATGAACAATTGCGCTTTCGTCAGTGGTGCTGAGAGATTATAATCCGCTAGCTCGGTGTTTGTGTACTCAACACTCATTGTTCTTGTTAAAAGCTACTTTTTGCCCTTTACCTGATCTTTCACCTCAAGCTTTTATCTTCTTCTTTATCTCATACGACGCCAGGGTGGGAGAGTTTACACGTCAGCTTTGTCCTGAGGGACACCTGAATACCAAAGATGTAGTTGAGACGATGAATGTTTCTTTAATTCATTTTCTGTATTTATTGGTGATATTTGCTTTCCTTTAGAAAGGATTTAATGTAGTCACCAATCAGACTCAACGTCTGTTCAGATTTTTACAAAGGTCTTTGAAGAATCTGCTATGTGGTTTACCCAGTGTGGTACCCGAGAATGAATAGATGAGATCCAGCCTGGCTCAGGATTAGATCAATTTGCACAGGGAGAGAGGCTAGCGAGCTACTCTGGTTATTGCATCCAGGTCCTAAACTCTGCCTCTTGCTGTTTTTTCTAATATTCTTGATAGCTAGAACTTTGGTCCTGACTTCTCTTTCAGGCAGTTCTCAACGTTTCTGTTTTTTTTTTTTTTTT